CTGTAATTCCGATAAAACTTGCTCGATAGCCACGCTAACGCTAGTTTCATCGGCTGAAGCCGCCATGTTCTTTAGACTGAACTGTCGCGCTTCTTGTTTCGTCACACCTCAACCCGCCTCAAAGCCAACGCTGATTGGACGTTCGTTTGGTGAACGGCTCCAAATTTTCTTTAACGGAGAGTCTCCAGACTGACGAGACATTAGTTTACATTTAGAGCTGACATATTTGGGTTTGCTTCCTGAGCAACAGCAGAATTTGGGTTTGTGGCTTAAAACCTTCATCAGGACGACATAAACAAAGAGGCATTTTTAAACTGGATGGGAAACAGATGTTAAAACAGTGAGCAGCAGATGTGTCTGCAGTCCGAGCTGACATCTGTGAACTTAAAGAAGTCTGTCGGTTGGATGCGGCCCCACCGGCTGAACTCTCAGCTCCACTCTCATCCAAGCAGCTTAGAGCTGTAATTAAATCATTAAATTCTTGTCTATGCTTCACAGAGCCGAGCCAAATTGACTTTCACCAACCTCATTTTCCATTTGAACACCAAATAATGATTTTCTGCCAGTCTAATTACAAAGCTCAACATCTGATCATCCTGGCATCCGGCCGGGAATTATCACAGGGGCCTGGCATTAGACCTCATTAGCAGCCTGACTGCTGAATTATTACATCTTGTAATTGGACGGGGACATTTATCAGCAGGGCTGGCCTGCCGCTCTGCAATCACATGCTCCACCGGGCGTCGTCCAGAGGTGGCAGCAGAAAAGAAAGAGGAGCAGCAAGTTTATTTTGGTCTTTAACAATCAGAGAGAGGGCAAACATCTCCTACAGGAACTGAGGGAAGCAGTCAGAATGCCACAGAGTTTAAACCATAAAAAGCTCAATGTCAGATCTTTTATCTCAGTTAATCAAATCAAATTTCTTGCACTGTTTGTCTTTTATGATAAGGAGATTAGAGGGCACCGAACTCCTGGACACAGAAACAGAAAAGCAAACATGAATGAAAGAAATCCTGAGATCTTTGGATTATTATGCTGTGGATCCACAGATGATCATTTCATCAAAGAATCCTGAGCAAAATTAAAACTCGGGTCCACATTAGATAGTTTAGATGTTTAAATGTCAAAAGACAATAAAAATTAAATGCATTCGATATAAAATTATATTTAAAAACAGATAAAGTGCAGAGCAGAGAGTAAAGCATCAGCTGAAGGACAGTAAAAATGGTGAGAGCTGGCACAGACTGGACTCCTAGATTTTATTGTTGTTGAACAAATTAACTATCAGGAATTATTGCTTGAAATAAGCTGCATAAAATATTGGTGGGTTTTTAACAGAAATGTAAAGCCAAGAATGTCACTGGTGTGATTATTTTTCTGGCTTGTTTATCTCTTTTTTCTTTCTCTTACATTTATGTTGCTGCAGGAAAACAAAGTTAATTTGTTAAGTGTTTTTCCTCCTGGCCTCCTGGTCCATCAGAAGGCATCCAGGTCTGACTCATCTTCACTGCAGCCTATTAGGAGCATCCACGCTGACTCTCTGCAGGCCTGCTGGGAAAACCTTTAAAACCGTCCTTCATGATGTCTGCAGCACACTCAGAGCTGGCTCAGAGCACTGATCTTGATTTATTTAATGGATTACTGATAGGCCATTGGTAGTACACGGTGCTGTAAAGTCACCAGTCTCCATATTGGTACTCCCCAGTTAGACCGGTCACAATGTAAACAAGAGGTGCTCTACAGCATTGAAAAATGATGACTTTCTCATTTTCAGGGGGGCTTAAGTCTTTTAGAATAAAGATATATTCATGCATTAAGTAGATTACTGTCATTTAACCCTAACCTTATCTTTTGCAGGCCAGTTAG